ACCGGCTCAAGGTTGACTCAGTCTTCCATCCTTCCGAGGTGGATGAAATGAGGACCCACACTGTGGGGGCAATTTGCTGACTCAATTTGCTAAAAATCTGTAAACCGCTTAGAGAGGGCTGAAAGCCCTATGAAGCGGTATATGTCTAATAAATAAATAAATAAATAAATAAATGTGTCATTGATTGGAGATCAAATGAAACCTAAATATTAGCTTACCGATGTAAATAGATCATTTATATCTTGAAAGTAAGTCTGACACACTTCATAGAGTAAATTGATTACAAACATACATTTTGGGTTTGTCTACATATACAATTTAATCAGGAAAATTGAAATATACAAGGTAGTAATAACAAACGTCAACTATTGTTTAACCATCTTAACTATCACATATTTTCTACAATTTCAGTGAGAGATTTTAAAACACATATATACATATATACACATCCATAATCTATTAACAAACAATATTACATATGCACCTCAATCTATATTTACAAATGCCATTTTGGTAGTAGATGTAATATCTTCCACTGGAAGAACCATCGCTCAAAACTTAAAACATCAAAAATGTAGACTACAAAGTTCATGCAAGAGTTGATAGCTTAATGATCATGTCAATATAACATTGTCCTTGATGGATTATCCTAAATTCCATATATACAGTATCTTGGATTCATTTTGGCCAATAATATATTCTCTCCAAATCTTACAGTCTCTCCAAATAATACAGTCTCTCTCCAAATCTTAATGGAGAAAATTCTTTCACAGTGCAACAGAATTTGAAAAGAAACAGGACATGGATTGATTGCTTAAACCTCTGGGCTCCTGTTGCATTTGACAGTCTGAAAGAAACTAAAAAGCTTAGGCAGGTAATGAAAGTACATACAGTATATAGTATCTACTGACTCTTTATCATCATGGACATGTATTCTAGACTGTTTCCCTCAAAATTCTGATGTGAAACAAACAGGATATGATCTTAGATCACTTTGAACATTTTTCAGAAATTATGCTTTGTCACTACAATATACTAATAATATCTTTTGAAGTAACACAAAAGTTTTTTTAAGAAACAGGTATGCTTAGGCAAACTGTCAAATAAAACAGTTGAACAAAGAACCAGCTTTCTTCCAATTTATCCTGTCAGTCATGGGAGGAAATAATGAAGATTTCCAAAGATATGTCTCATGTCCTGTAGAAATGTGTTCATGTTCAGATCTGGTTTCAAGATTGAGTTGAAGTAATTTCTCCTTTGATGGATCTAAAAAGCAACACATTTATAAAAAGTATGTTATCTTGATGAGAAATAAAATACATGGGTTGCTTCTGAAAGGATCTCCCGAGCACTGACTATTCTGATCGTGTGCTAAGTAGTGAAGTAAGAGCTCAAAAGAACTAAAAACTCCTTGAGGATTTACAAAGCATTGTTCCAACAGAAAACTTTATAAAATGATTAATAGCATTTTGAGATATTCATATGCAAATTTCCTGGGATGTCTTTTATGTGAAGTGCCACTTTTTTCATGCAGACAAATTAAACAATCAGAGTGATAGTTGTAGTTTTAGCTGGGAAGCACAACATAATGCTGAGGAGTGGGTTGGGATGGGGGTTGTTAATATAAAAAGCATTAAATAAATTCAGAAGCTTGTTCCATTGTGCTCACTGCATGGAATTAAAAGTGACATGATAGCAGTGTTCCAAAATCTCAGGGGTTGCCACAAAGAAGAGGAAGTCAACCTATTTTCCAAGGCACCTGAGGGTAGAACAAGAAGCAACGGGTGGAAACTAATCAAAGAGAGAAGCAACTTAGAACTGAGGAGAAATTTCCTGACTGTTAGAACAATTAATCAGTGGAACAGCTTGCCTCCAGAAGTTGTGAACGCCCCAACACTGGAAGTCTTTAAGAAGATGTTGGATAGCCATTCGTCTGAAACAGTATAGGGTTTCCTGCCTAGGCGGGGTTGGACTAGAAGACCTCCAAGGTCCCTTCCAACTCTACTATTGTATTATATCATGCCTTTATTTTGTATAGTTCAAAGCAGTTTACACAGTTCTTCTACTTCTTAATTTCCTTACAACAACAACCCTATGAGGTAGATTAGGCTGAAGAAGATTGATTGATTCAAAATCACCCTGTACCTAAGGGAGGACTAAAACATCTAATTTCTAATCTAGTACCTTAATAACTACACCACAGTGCCTCTCCCTACTTATTTGCATGGACTTTTAAAAGTTCATGTTGTTTGATACCCTGCAAGATTTTTTCTAACATAGTATTCTTTCCCTTAATTTCAATATTTATTGTTTTACCATTATCTCTATTTAATTTTATTCATGGATTAGGAATGAAATCATTTCTCAGAGATTTTACTTCAGCATGTTAGCAAATTTTGCAACCCACCTTCTAAACCAGGTCTGTCAAACTCGTGACCCAAAAGCCGGATGCGTTACGGGCTGGCCATACCCACACCCAATTTAGCAAAGGGGGGAACATGATGACATTGTGACAATGCGAGTTTGACACTCCTGTTCTAAACCAATAAAGCTATTTTCCTTTTATTTAAAAATATATAATAATCACAATAGAATTAAAACTAAAATAATCTTAACATTTATCAAATGTGTGGCAGATTCTGTTTTTTTAGCTGCCTACCTAAAACTCATTTGGAATGGAAACAACTTGGCTTGATCTGAAGAAATCCCACAGGGTCTATGCTGCTAAAGGCCTAGTCTCATGTTACCATTAATTTAGATTCTCTTGGCAGTGGGTCACTCACAAGGCAATGCCTCTAATGAAGGCTGCCAATGATGGCAAACTCAAATGGAAAGGAGAAATGTTTCAGAGAAGGCATTTAACAAATATGCGTGACCTTGAAGAATTGACAATATTTAGTATATCCCCTATTTGAATTGGGCACATTTTCCAATCTCCAATTTGCAGCCCAGCTCAGATGCAGAAGCTAGCAAATCTTGGCTGATTTTGAAAAACCAAAGCAGGATAAAGTTCTTGGATGGAAGACCACTAGGAGATCTCATAATTATAGAATGTTCAAAAAAAAAACTGGGAAAAGGTCAGTTCTGTACTGTTGCCAGGTAAACTATATGAATCTACCCAAAGTCACAAATTATCAAATTTGATTTCTGCAAAACTATTATATTTTGGAAGCATGATGCACACAGATTTTTAGCTTAGCACTTATCTCTCTTCTTCATTCCTTGTTTTTGCCTTTTTCTCTACCCTTTTTAGAAGCGTTTAAGAAAAATGCATTTAAAATTAGTCTAGCCTGTGGACTTGAACCTATTTTAAGAACTTAATTTAACAGCTAGAGATTAAACCTTTTTGAACAAAAACACAAAATGATTAATTCCTCAAGTGAACTCAAGGTGTTCCGCCCCACCAATGACTAGAAGTTTGTTGAAGAGTAGGTGATACCCAAAATCAGGATCTCAAAAGTACAATGGAGTAGGCAAAATGATGCTGTCTCTACTGTCCATGACTAAAGGTGACATGTATAGCTATAATTCATTGAATAAACAACCATAGGAGTTGCAACTGCATGAGAGTCATCTTAGGAGCACTGATCCATCAAGGCAACAGTTGTTAAATCCTCAGAATGTATAATGGTATGTGAGAAAAACCTTGAGAGAAAGGGTGAGGAAATGCTGCCTAGGGAATGCTTAGATAAGCCCACAGCCACATAAAGGTTGGAGAACAAGGATGATGTCACTCTTCCAGGATAAACCAGACAGAAAACATCACCAGATAAGCTAATTTCACCTTGTTGTAAGGCTGCAATAATTTCTTGAAAATATAAATCCACTGCCCTTTCCTTAACAGCCTGAGAAACTAGGAAGATTTCTTCTCAGTCTCTTTCTGTGTCCATTCTGTAGGTGTGAGCTATGACTTCTCTTATTTAACTATTCCCTAGGTAACATTTCTTCGCCCCAACTCAAGCTTTTTCTCACATACCATTATAGAATGTAGTTAAAGTTGTGCAAATAGAAAAGTGTGGCCTCCTAAAACCTCTGGTATACAATGTAACCAATGACTAGTGAGCTAGCAACGTAAAACAACCTTTACTCTATCTGGTACACAATTTCAGAATAGAACGAGGCACATTTTTAAGCAAAAGTCTAACGTTCTTTTCAATAGAACACTTGAATCCATGAAGACAAAGAGAATAGCTCTATGGAAAGTGCCACTCAGACAGGATGTGAGTAGATTCTCCAAAGAAGCCAACATGGCCATGAGGGAAACTCAGAGACAGGTTGGTAGGGTTCACCGACAAAAGGGTGAACGACAAAAGCACGCCTGACTAAACCGTGGTGACAAAACCGCGAATTCTAAAGCGCGCCGACGAATGAGCGCTGAAGCGCGGCGACAACAGCGCGGTGACAGAAGCGCGCTGTAAACCTAAACCTAACCCTAAACCTAAACCTAACCCTAAACATAACCCTAAACCTAACTCTAAACCTAACCCTTACCTTAACTTAAATCGCGCTTCTGTCGCCGCGCTGTTGTCGCCGCGTTGATGACGTCACGTTAATGACATCACGATTTTAGCGCCACGATTTTGTTGGCGCGCTTTTGTCATGCGCGCATTTGTTGGGTCATGGGTTGGTAGCAGTGGGGTATGGGCCTATAGCATCCAAAAGTGATCATCAGATCTGGGTATTTCTTAACCCAAATGCATGATCAACCATATCATCCATAACATGTACCAGATTTCATTCCTAGCAAAAATTGTGCTGTGAAATGGGGGCGAGATGAAGTCAAGGTTATGAGGAAAGGTAAGGAAGAAAGCAGTTCCCTAGAGAACTTAGAAGAAAAGCCCATAGACTAGTTGCCTTCTGGTAAATCAAATCCTAGAGGAAAGGCAGGAAATAAATCTAACAAATATAGCAATGATAATCATGTCCCTTTTTTGAAGTGCTAAATACTCAAACTGCTGAATTGCTATAAATACTTAAATAACAATTTAGTGTTATTTAAACGACGTCTCAGATAGAGATTTTTTTTTCATCTCTGCAGTCTTTTTCTGTGCCCATACTGTCTTAGGACAATAAAAACTAGTACTTACAGCTAAAGACTTTCCTTGAATGTCCAGGTCATCTGGAAACAGCAGACTCTAAATGAGAAGGATAGCAGTAATTAATATTTTCTTTCCATGAGATTAACAGACAAAATTGGAGGAGAAATTAGAATTTTTGATCTCTCAGTGGCATGCAGATATTTCAACTTTCTCCCTCCCTCCCTTTACTACATATAGAGACTCAAACCAATTTTTCATGACATAAGGAATTATAATTTAAGCACTGAGTAAAGGAACAAGAAACTATTGGGAAATTGACAGTTCAGTCAACTCAGCTTTCAGAGTAGTAAATCATCTGTTTCTTACCACATCCTTCCTTGTTAACATTAGGCAGACATTCCAGAGTCCCATAAATACAGCGACATAATTGGCATTCCTCTTGAGACCACTCACCATGTCCGAGAGAACCACAATTCCTAAGAAATCACAATGTTTTAGTAAATGGGAGCTTGCGATGAGTTCCAGAGGCTCTCAGAAAACCCCATAAAATCACAAAAAGTAAGCATCACTTTTGTTTAAAAAACAGCTAGTTGGGCAGCTAACTAGCAAACCATTCTACTTCTGTGACAATCCATCACCACTTATGATGGTGCCTACAGAAAGAAATACCCATAGGATTGACAGGAATTCAACAATATATAGAAACAATAAACAATCGCTAGAAGTCAGGCAGGATCCAAATTGAATAAAATAAAATAAAAAACTGGATGAGGGAAACTCAAGTTAGGCTGGGTTTTTAACTTCAAAATATGACTAAGTTAGATACTACATTCACTTTGATTGGGAGCTGTTCTTAATAATAAAAGTCTTTGGTGCTCAATTTTGAGAGGTATATTAGAATTGAATTAGGAGATTATTGGAAAATTAAGAGAAGGATTATAGAGGTATCAGGTCAGATAATGTTTGTTTTACATAGAAATAGTCAAGAGTTAAACTGAAGAGATAATTGCAAATCTCCATTTGACTATAGAGCTGACTGGATAAATTGGGACAAATAAATTTCTCTTAGCATCATCTACCTTAAGGGTTGTTACTATAGGAATTATATAAATCAGTGTCTCTCAACTTTGGCAGCTTTAAGATGGATGGATTTCAACTCCCAGAAGTTCCCAGCAAGTGTTGCTGGCTGGAGAGTTCTGGGAGTTGAAGTCCGCTTATCTTAAAGCTGTCAAACCTGGGAAACACTCATCTAAAGGAAGTCTTTCCCCATGAATGTTGTCTTGAACTGACACAGAGAAAAAGTGGATAAAATACAATAAAATAAATTCTCCAGGACAAATGATGCCACTAGTGTTATTTATATGCTGCACCACTCCAGCTCTCCCTCCACCAACTCATTTTTTTTCTGGAGCAGATTTGAAAAAGGAAGAAGGGAAGAAAAGGGGGACAGGATTATTTGTGATTCTTGGATATGGAAAAGTCCACTAGCACAATGCTCAAATGGATCCCGGAGACAGAGAACTTTTACATACCTGATCCTTGTATCATATTCACAGTATCTTCCACTGAAATGTTTTGGGCATATACAAAAAGTTCCCAGGAAACAGGTTCCTCCATTTTTGCAGCAGTGTTTGTTCAATTTGCCTGCTAGAAATAAATAGGGAGAACATCATGAAAAGTATGTCAAATTTCTTTGAAAAAAATAGACCTTCTTAAAAACTACTGTCCTGCAAACAGCAGGCTGCTACATATGATAAAAAATCCACTAGTTTCTCTTTTGTTATGCCCATTGTAGAATTAAGTGGCATTTTAAATTTTATTAGCCATTTTGGTCTAGCGGTTAAGACACCAGACTTGAAACCAGGAGATTGTGATTTCTAGTCCCACATGAAAGCCAGCTGGGTGACTCTGGGCCCAACTCAGGCCAACTCACATCATAGAGTTGTCATTATGGGTGAAATAAGATGAATAAGGAGTATCACTTATATTTTCTGCCTTGAATTACTTTTAAAGTAATAAAGGTGTGATAAAAAAATTCTAATGCATAAACTGAAAATAAATAAATAATAAAACAAAGAACAGGTTTGTGGAAGCTATGGTCTGTAGATTTGCCTTCAAATACAGAGAATGAGTTACTCTTTACAGTAAGTGTTCTGTACAAAAGACTAGACTTTATGTGGCATTGTACAGAACAGTTTCATTCTCTAGTAAAAGTAGAAGAAATTACATATTTTGACATGTGGTCCAGTATGGATCAATTGAACAATTAAGAAACTTTGTGAAATTTTAGACATGCTGTGTTGTGGATCAAGATGTGGATCATTTACCAAAATGCTTTGAGGATATTAATTGATTAAAAGAAATTTAAACTTATGAAATATGAGTTCTATTTCTTTTTTTTTAAAGAGGGGGTAAAGATTTCAGATGATTTCAAATTTATTAGAAATCCCCAAAACCTACAGTGACTTGTAATTAATCCACGGAATAGATAGTTGAATATCTTTTTTTTACTAATAGTATACTATACTATTAGTATAGCATATAATACTATATAGTGATACTATATAATAGCATCACAAGCAATTATTACATAAATTCAAGATTAGGTGATGTCCTGGCTGGCCATCAGTGGCTCTATGCCTAGAGTTGTACTTATCAAAGTTCAGAACTAGAAACAGGAGCCATTCTGACTATTATTAACACTATAGGAATGACAAGGCATGTTATAACGGCCATGAAGCATCCTGGGCTCATGGATTCCAGCAAAGTTACTCATGAAAGGAGTGAATTCATTACATAGTTAAGGCATGCAGCTAATGGAGGAAAAGAGTATTCATTACTGTTCTGAAGATAACAAAGTAATCAAGATTCCATGAATGTTTCGAAATGCTAGGAAATGTTATGTGTTTATCAATATATGAGGAACAAACTTCCCAATCTGACCACATCCAGAAGCGCTAGATTACAAATACTATTGTTCAGAGATTTATTGATGGTCATTGGGTTTGATGAACATGCTGAAAAGTACAGTCCAAAAAATAATAGAAGGCACAAGCTTGATGGAAGGCTGGTGTAAAAAGATTGTTTACAGGGAATGTATTTTTGAATCCTATTCATCTGTAAATTCATTTTTATCTCAAGAAAGTCATTATCTCAATAGCCATATTTCTCACTTGCAAAATAGGTACAATATAATTTTTCTTAGGGCTTTTGTGGAAGAATGCTGGAATACAAAACATTTTAAAAATTCAGAAATTCTGTATAAATCATAGATAACGCATAGCCTTGCTGTTAATATTAATGTCAACATAAAAAGTTCCAATTTTTATATGGAAGTTAGAAAGCAATCAACTTTTTAGAAGTTTTTATAATAATTAAGAAACATTCTATGTAACAATACTTTTCCTTTAGGAAATTGAAATTTATTAAGCATACATATTAAGAGTTCGGCTTGACATTATCTAAACCTTATGTATTTAACAGAGAAAATGTTACTTTGAAAGAAAATATACTTGATTAGCATAATTGATTAATGACTTTGCTTGATTTCTATGAACCAGTAAGTCTGTTTTTAAAATGTTTTAGGAGCTCTTTAAAGCAAGCAACAACTAATCAGGTATCTGAGTATCTGAATTTTCCTAGAGATTTCATACTGAGGCTTGATTTACACATTGAATTAATTCATAACATAGCCACAATCCTGTACTTTATAGTCTGCTTTTTTGATTTAGCACAATATGTGAATCTAGGCATAGTTGATATTAAGCGATGTTCTATCTAGCGGCTTTTATGCAGTTGGAAAAAGGTTGCATTAAACAGTATTTAAAGGCACCTTCCAATTCTGATTGTAATATAGTTAGTATAAAAATTTATTAGATTCAGACTGGAAGGTACCTTTAAATATCATTTAATGCAACCCTGCATTAAGAGTATCTCTTAATGCCAACTAAAATACACACAATATAGTTACATGCCATTTTATACATTTCCGTTGTTGTAAACACAATTTGGATTATAACATGACAGGGTACACTTTTTCAGTTAGTATAATCTCCCAAACTGTGTTCTTAACACAAATTGGGCAGTTTAAGGCAAAATTCCCAGATAATTGGATAATGCTTACATCAATGGACAAACATTGGCTACTACAGTAACAGAAATGAGTATCTCTAGAAATCAAATAAATCTAAGCTTGAATCCTCAATTACACACTTCAGTACGCACCACTGGGTCAGTCACTTATTAGGTGTTAATCTTACATCAAGCCATTACTTGTAACCAGCTGCTCTAGTATATAAATTACAGTTTATAGCTTAATTTGTTGGTATCAGGGAATTAAATTCAATCTTTTTTTAAAGAATCCAGGTAACATATACAACACTCTCTTTTTTCATAGCAGCACTGTACATTGGTTGACCTACATGAAAATACCTACTGGATTTACAGGACTGGGGGTGGACTTCAACCTAGGTCCTGGCTCAAATAACTTTATACTACCATACGTGAACTATTAGGTCATAGTTTATGAACTTACTTAATTGTGGTTTAAGAAATCATGATTTATGACTATATGAACTGAATCTACTTTACAGATTGTTGATAACGTAAAAAGTGAGAACTCCCAGTCTTGAACCCGAGAACAAAAGTGCCTTTAAGTATCAGTTTTTTCCTAAGTTTTTTCTGCCTGAGAAGATCCAGTTGGACATTTAGCAATGTTATTTTTCTTAGGTTACCCAATAGCTGAAGTTCTCTGGGTGATTTACAACCAAGCATAAACATTTATAACAGTTTGCACACTTTGCAAAAACTTACTCTCTGTGATCCCAATGAAAGGTATAACATTGGATGGATTGTTCCTCCTCTTTTCAGAATTAAGTTGATTGAGAACATTCAAGGTTTTCAGAGCATGATTCCTATTCCCCAAACTTGGGGCATCATTGTCACAGTCTTCACCCTCACAAGCTTTTAAAAGAGAAGAAACACATAAAATTCAGTAATGCCCATACGACTGCTCTTCCTCAGCCCTTATGTTTTTTTTACATGAAGAAAACATATGCAGCATTTCATGCATTTCCTAAGCTAATTTTGACAAATTTTATCAGTGAAGTGGGGATGGAAAAACTCCCAAGAGAGCCAAATATGGACAAAAATAATGAAGTTGCTGTTTAGAACTCCTTATATTTAAGATTCTTCATCATATGATAACTTTTAAGTGGATAGCATCACATTTGTGCCCGCTCCAATACATATAAAATAAGGACAAATTCAGGACTTCTATTTTTTCAAAAGTAGGTGTGATGGGAGTGGGGAAAAATACTGGTTATCCTTCCCCCAATTTCCTGGGTCTCTAGCTATTGGGAATCAGCAGCCCATCCCTTAAGGGTTTTATATTCCAATCCTATTCTAGCTAAAATCTCTGTATTAAAAAAGGAACTAAGGCTAACAGGCTCAACACTGCATTTGTTAAGATTTACAAGGAATCAATTTACAGGAGGAGATTTTGATGAACTGAGACAATTAAAATCATATTGCATAAATTTACTTACCATATGCCATCTGGATTACTTGTACTGTCATGGTAATCAAAAAAATGAAATGGAAGGATCTAAACAAGCAGAAACAATAAGGGTAATTTTAGGACATTTTTTGTCATCATTTTCAAACATCTTGCAGTCACAATATATACTAATAGAAAAATACATTAATAAAAATAAATAATAAAAACTATTAATATCTAAACATTATAACATTCATGAGAGCCACTTTGATATTGTGGTTAAAGCACCAAGTTAGAACCTGGGAGGTCATGAATTCTAGTCTTGCCTTAGGCACAAAGCCAGATGGATGGCAAGTCACTTCTGAAAACTGCAGAAAATTGCATGGACCTATCCAACTGCTCACAGAGGAAACTAATATTAATATCCATATAGGTTTCAATTATATACAGATGGGAAAAATGCAGAATATCATAGAAAAGCATCTATTAATTAAAATTATATATTTTAATTTGCATTTAAGGTAATGGGTTATATTCATTTACCTTAAAGTCTGCATGTTCTTTTTAGTAGTCTTCAGAGCAAACAGTCCTGCTGCAAAGTTTTCCCGTGGTCCAAAATGCAAGCAACTCTTATAGAGGAATGGGTTTAAAGTAATTTATAGAAAACATAAACAATGGATATTCGCTAGTTTTCTCCTCCCTTTCTGTCACATGACTGACAATGTAATAATCTGCCCGGGGCCATGTCCTTTGTTGTGAGATTGGCCCGTAAATTCAAAAGCCTTGGCTGTGACATACATTTGATTTAGATTTATTTCCAGATAAATTAATAGAACTTATTCTGCACTTCTTGCTTTGCTATTAAGATTCTAGAAATATATTATATATTATTTGCATTTACCTGATATTCTTGATAAATGGAAATGAACTATAAAGAGATGAGAATTTTTTTAAAAATGATTACTCTTTCCTTGTTAGCATTTTAAAGGTGATTCAGACTCTCTCTTATATAGCATTTTAGCTGCTTAAGCCTTCATCCATACCAGGAATTAAACATTTATTAAAATAATTACAAAACTACAAACCCTTCTGGATGAGTCCTTTTTCAAGTTATTTGTTTTTGCTATTTAAATTTTATGTTGTATGGTAG